AGCATGTTGTGAGACAACACTGCCCTGTCCACTGTCTGTCAGTAAATCCCTGGGGTACCCTGGCTCCTGAGAGGAGCGCTACAGTGGACCCCTGCTGTGTAGTTTTCTGTTTGTGTTCCTGCTGGGGCACACCCCGGGTTGGGATTACTGGGTTATATGTAATCCTATGTTCTACCTTTTGAGGAACTACCAAACTTTACCAGTCTGCACTATTTTGCATTTACATTAGCAGTGGATGAGGGCTTCAATATCTTTATATTCTTGCCAATATCTAGTTCTTGGTTTTGCTTTTCTTTTTTTTTTTTTTTTATTTTATTTTACTATTTGTGTGTGCCGTCAAATCAGATCTGACTGGTACAGGAGGAGATTGTCCCTCCTTCCCGGGCAGAGCATCTGGTGGATTTGAACCGTGCACCTCTGGGATTGTAGTTGCAGCTCCTTGCCACTAGGCCACCAGAGCTCCCCTTGGTTTTGCTTTTCAATCACGGTCATTCTAGTGGAGGTGATGTGAGTACCACATTGTAGTTTTGGTTTTTAAGTCTTCAGTCTTTCTTATTCATTATCCAACTTTCATATATACATGAAGCAACTGAAAAGACCTTGACTTGGGTCAAGGGCATCTTCAGTCTTGAAACTCCTATCCTTGTTCTTCAGCACTTTCAAGAGGTCTGTGACAGCAAATTTTCCCAATGCAACACGTCTTTTGATTTCTTGACAGCTGTTACCATGGGTGCTGATGGTAAATCCAAGTAAAAGGAAATCTCTGACAACTTCAATCTTTTCTTAGTCATGATGCTGCCTAGTGGTCCAGTGGGGAGGATTTTTATCTTCCTGATGTTGAGATATAGTCCATATTGAAGGCTGTTGTCTTTGATCTTCTGCAGTAAGTGCATCAAGTCATTTTTACTTTCTGCAAGCTGCTGATTAAGGCTTCCTCCAACCATGATGCTACATTTTTCATATAATACAGCTTCGCAAATTATTTGCTCAGCACAGATTGGGTATGGAGAAAGAATATAACCTTGCTGCATACCTTTCCTGATTTTAAACCATGCAGTGTTCCTTGTTCTGTTCTAACAGATGGTTCTTGGTTTTGCATGAGCACAATTAAGTGTCCTGGGATTCCCATTCTTCTCAATGTTACTCATAATTTGTTATGATTCCTAGCTGGAAGCTTTTGCATTGTCAATAAAACAAGTAAACATCCTGTTGGTACTTCCACTTTTAGTCAGGCTCCACCTGACAACAGCGGTGATATGCCTGGTTCCATGGCCTCTTTTGAACCCAGCTGGCAAGTCCCTGTTGATGTACTGTTGAGGTACTGACAGTACCTAGTAACAATAATGACAATGGTACCAGACATCTTTTCATGTGTGTAACGGTCACCTGTGCATTCTCTTTAGCAAAGTGTTACTTCATCTTTTGTGTATTTTCCAATTAGGTTGTCTTTTTCTGTTGTAGAGTTGTAAGTGTTCTTTATACAGTCAGAATATTAAACGCTCATCAGATATATGCTGTTAGGTGCCACTGAGTAAGCTGATTCACAGTCATCCTGTATACACAGCATGAAGAGTCCTGTGCCAGCCTCATAAACACTGCCGTGCTTGAACCCACTGCTGCAGCCACTCACTCAATCCATCGCACTGAGGGTCGTCTTCTTCCATCAATCCTTGACCAAGCATGAGGTACTTCTCCAGGGACTGGTCCCAACTAATCATGTTTCCAAAGTAAATAAGAGGAAGTCTCCCCATCTTCATGTCTCGAGAACATTCTGTTTGCACCTTTTCCAAGACACAGTTGCTTGTCCTGGCAGTCTGTGGCATGTTCTATAATTCTTGACAGTAAAGATATTAATTTTTTTCTATGGTCTTCTGTATTTACTGTCCAGCTTACACAAGCACATGAGGTGACTAAAATGACCATAGCTTCGACCAGGCTCACCTTTATCTTCAAAGTGATGTCTTTGCTCTTACACAACAGAAAGAGGTCTTTTGCAAACATGCCCAATGCAATACGTGGATTGATTTCCCGACTGATGCTTCTAAGAGCACTGACGCTGGATCAAAGTAAAAACAAACTCCTTGACAATTTTAATCTTTTCTCTATTTACCATGATGTTACTTACTGGACCAGCTATGAGAATTCTGGGCTACTTTATACTAGAAATATGGTTCCCCCACCCTGTAGAATCTCTCTTTACTTTTTTAATAAAGTTCTTTGATGCACAAAAGCTTTTCATTTTATTTTTTTAATTTTTATTTTATTATGTTTGTGTGTGTGTACCGTCAAATCAGATCCGACTGGTACAGAAGGAAATTAACCCCTCCTTCTCCGGCAGAGCAACTGGTGGATTTGAACCGCGTACCTCTGGGATTGCATTGCAGCTTCTTGCCACTAGGCCACCACAGCTCCCAAAGCTTTTCATTTTAATAGTCTAATTTTACTTGATTCCTCCATTCAATGGCCATCATTCCTCTGTGAAAATCAGAGGATCACACCTGTATGGGTTTACTTCTGGACTCTCAAGTGTACTGAGAGTTGGCTTACATGACACATTATAGGCTGTTTTGATTACCAGACCTTTATAGCCTGTTTTGAAATTAGAGTGTGATGATTTTTTTCAGCCATTTACAAAAAAAATAAAGCTGCCTTTATGACAAGCTGGACGTACTACCGCTACTTTCAGGAACTTCAAGATATGAAAAAGAGACATTCTCATCCTTCTGGTTGTTGTTGTTGATTGTCTTCGACTCGAGCACAACTCACAGAGACCTGATAAACAAAAGGCCTGAAGCCCCTCTACAACTACTGACATTTATCCAAGTTCATAGAGTTTCCGGAGGCATGTTGTTTAGGAAGTAGAAGCCACTGCTAAGAACATCTAAACCATACAAGTGTGTCTGGGGCCAATAAAACAGGACACAAGGGGCCAACTTTGAGGAAGACATCTCCCAGGGACATCACCTAGACCTGCCCACTCACTCCTCAGCCTCACAGGATTTCCCTATCCGGAGCAGAAGGTGATTATCCTGGGGAGCAGCACCCACAGCGCTGGGCAGTCATCTGAGAGCATCATCCAGAGCACAAGGCGGTCATCTGGGAAGTGTCCTTCAGAGCACAAGGTGGTTATCTGGGGAGCATCACCCAGAACACAAAGTGGTCATCCTGGGGAGTGTCATCCAGAGCACAAGGGGAGCATCACTCCCTAGCATGAGGTGGTCATCTAGGGAGTGTCACCTAGAGCATAAGGTGGTAATTACAGGAATGCTACCCAAGAGCAAGGAGCCATCATCCCAGGAAGCATCTCCCCAGAGCATGAGAAAGTCATTATAGGAATGACAGAATGACTCAAGGTGCTCATCCAGGCAATGTCACCCCAGAGCACAAAGTAGTCATCTGGGGAACATCACCCAGAGCTCAAGGCAGGCTGGCTGGTAATGCCACAGGTGCTTCTGAATGCTACAAATCAAGTGCACATGCTCTGGGTACAAGCACAAACTTGGTGAGGACAGGGCACATTCAGATGCTCAGTCAGTGTCAAAAGCAGCACATTCTTAGGCTCTAGGCTACATTTTAGAGGATGAATCTTATTTATGACAGCTGACAATTTAATTACAAGTGTTTCTGTTCCAAAGCCATTAGAGACATCTGCTAACATTACATTTTTGTGTAAATAGTTTACTGGCTACAAGCTATACCATTACATATACAGAAAAACCATCCAAAGGATTTAAAGGGGAAGCGTGAGCCCATTCTGTGCTACAGCATCTGAACCAGGGCAGGCAACAGGGGACACTGCATTTGGGGATGAGCAGGTGGGCAGGGCACAGGGGGAAGGGGCAGTGCCTGTGGGGCAGAAGGGGCCTGATGAAGAGGAGCTCAAGCCGTGACCAAATTCTCACTAAAATTATTTCATGAGGAAACAGACACACTATGTATGTAATATAGCTAGGGAAAGCAGCTTGACATGCAGAGGTCCTTTAAGTAAACCCTTTAGTTATTGCTCAAATGACATCTTAATAAAAGAAATCCAAGTCCCACCCAAGACAGCACCACGTGCACTCCCTCGCATTCTAGCCTTCTCTCACCTCCCTGTACTCCGATTCTGCACAGTGGCAGCACTCAGCAGGTCACTGTCTAGCTGCTTCTCTCCTCGCTGAGTCAAACAGCCCTGTGGCTGTGGTAACGGGCACTTAACAGTAGTTGTACTTTGTTCTCTTACTGGTGCAGGAATCTTTCAGAAGCTGGGAAGTGGCCATGAGCCCTTCCCATGGGCCTTAGTGGTCTGATAGTAATTGGTTTGAGGCCAGAAGCCAGAGATGACCCCTTGATGGTCCTCACCAGGTGACCATTCCTGAGAGTAATGGTGGGGCAGGGGACTGAGGAACAACTATCATGGGGGGACAACCTCCACCCCCAATGCTGGACAAGGTGCTTCAGAGGACCACTAGGCAGGATTGTGAACAGTGTCAGAGCCGAGGTCACCCCACTCCTTTTCGGCCTGGGAGATCTAAGTGAGGTGGGATTCTGTTTGATCAGATTCGTCATAACCCACAACTCATTATTCTCCCCTAGGCAGTTCAGCTCTTGCTTCTTGAAGTCTCCTGCCAGATTCGAGAGACTTTCAGATATATTTCTCAGACAGGAAAGCTGATGTGGCCTTGAGTGGAATGCTACAGGTCTGATACCAGAATATAGTTCTCCAGCAAAAAAAGCAAGCAAATGCCAGCACTCAGCTGAGGCTGGTTTTAAGAACTAGCCCTGGACTGGAATTCAAGTCCACAGAGCCAAGGGCATTTCCTGGGCCCAGCTGAACAGTGGACCAGACAATGGATGACATGTGCTGGACTCACAATTCTGTGACAAAGCAATGACCTGGGGGCCTAGGCTTCTCTCAGTTGAACTTCTCGTGAGGGGTGTGTGCACATGTACACAGGGTGGGGGTTTGGCGCCCTCCATGACAGTGGAGGATCCCAGGCTCACAGCAACCCAGCACTCACCTCCACAGTGAGCAGACTCTCCTCCATCTTGCCAGCTTCTGCTTCTGTTAGGGGGTTTTTCAAGGTCTGCAGAAACAATGCAGCTTTCCTTTTACGCTCAGCTTGAAGCTGCTTCTCCTTTGACTCCTTGGAGGCCTGGGCTAGCTTTTCTCGGGCAGCAGCTGCGAGGCGGTCCTCCAGCTTTTGCTTTGCTTAAGGAACAAATGACAAGAGAATGGGGTTCAGAGCAGGCAGTCGTCTTCTTTGTGCTCTTAATTTTTAAGCAAGAAAAGTAAAAAGGGTCACAACATACAATGTAGTTACTGGTAAAATCAGACTAGGCAAACACAGGCAGATGTTTGGAAGGAATGATTATACTTATTTCTTTGACAAGAGCACAGTCCACTCTAGTGGCAGCTGGGACACCGGAACTGCTGTGTGCTGCTGACCACCTTGCCAGCCAAACAACTCTGAAGTACATCTTCCATGCGGGCCTGGGGCTCGCAGGGGGCAGCACAAGGCCAGCCCTACACAGTAAAGCCAGTCAGGATTAAAATAAAACTTTTATCAATGTGGCCTGAGTGGTCTGTGAAAGTATAGGAAAAGCAGTTTAAGAAAGTCAGCCAGAAAAGGCAGAAATTGTCCATCAATGCTGCCGAGCTCATGTGAGGGTCATCTCGCTTGGGCCAGGCTGGGTGCTGGCCCCTCCCCGGCTGCAGCAGATGCTCAGCATGCATGTGCTAATGCAGCACCGTGCACACTCCAGAGTCAGCAGGCGCTCAGGGCTGGGGGCTTTGCTGAGACTGTCTCACGTAGGCCATTAAGGCGGGTGGGCAGCGGGCATGGGTTGAGTGCCTCCCCCTAGGCTGCATTCCAAGCACACAGAGCCTCCATTAGCGCTCCCCGCTAGGTGCCAGGCTGCCTGCCAACAGACAGAGTCTGCAAGCAGTGGCCAGCGGCAGTGTGGCCTGCGGCCCAACCAGAAGAGCATATAGTGCCCTGCAAAGGCTTAGCCTGTCAGATGTCCAGAGGGGCCTCATGCCCAGGAACTTGGTGATCCTCTCTCAGCAAGAGGAATCTCGGGCTTAGGCACCTTCTTTCCTTCAAGAGTTGAAAGTGTGTTTACAAACCTTGTTTTGCTTCAAGCTCCTCCTGGGTGAGTGGAGGCTTCTTCTCCTCAACAACCACACAGGGCAGGACGACGGCTGGGCTGGCGCTGGCAGCAGTACTAGCACTTTCCTGGCCCTCCTTGCATTCTTCATCATCATCACTATCATCATCCAGCTTAACACGATTTTTTTCCCGGGGAAGCAGATCACTCTCTTTGGCTTTGATTGCAAAGCTTATTGGAGCAAAGGAAGCTATTGGGAGAAAGTGAGAACAGTGACAAGTTTTAGAGAAAAAGAACCAGTTACAAGGCCCTATCACGGGCAGGACCTACGGCAGCGTGCTGGTGGAAGGGACAGTTTAGGTGGATGGCACCATGTGCAGGCTGGCGGCTCTAATGCTGCTTCATGTGGACAGGACGATGCTGTGACCACCATTCTAGACTTCCACACTGACTGGAACACAGCACAGCGACCGTGACAGTGTCCATGTTGAGTCACCTGGGAAATACCTATTGAGAGGCACAGTGGGACCACTGGCACTTTCATATGGTTAGTTTCCCTTCTTTTCCCAGGGTGAGAAGACTAAGCAGGCCACGGCATGACTCCACTATCCAAAAGTATCTTCAAAGATCCTGATTCTAAGAAAAAACCCTCCTTACAAAGCAGAAATCAGAGACCCATTAATTTCGTCACTGACACTGGCACTGGCTGTGCTGGGCACTAGGTACAGTTTTCACTTCCATGAGTAATTCCCAAGCTCAGTATAAGAAAAATCTTGGTAGTTCAGTTTTTCTCCTCTACAGTATCTACAAAACCCTCTCTAAGAGGACAGAAAGGCCACACAGGCAACATCCTTGCCTGACCACCTTGACAAAAGCTCTGAGACCCTACTCCTCAGAGATGGGTGTAAATAGCTCCTAACTACTGCTAATCAGGTTAAAAAAATCCTTTACTATTACAAACTATTTGTTATTTCTTACCAAGGACTTCACAAATAAATAACAATGAAGAGAAATTATAAATGTCTTGTAAACTTGTTGACTTTGGAAGGAAAAATGGATTATTCTAGAAAAAATGGATTGACAAAGTGACTTCAACAATGGGCTCAAACACAGCAGCGATTGTGGGGACGTGCAGAAATCAGTGAGCAGCGTTCCATCCTGTTGTATGTTGGGTCACTGTGAGTCAGACTCAACTCTATAGCAGCTAATGGCGAGGTAAACAAAGGAAGGTTCTTGAACTTGGTGAATGATGTGAATAACAGTTCCACTTCTGAGACCCAGGACAGTTCAGAGAAGCTGGTCCACCAGGTTCTTCCTGCCTTTCCCCTTTCCCATTTTCTGGTTCCAAAGACATGAATGATTCAAAGGAGATCCTGAGATACACTTTTCATCTATAACCAACCACCACAGGCTGCACAACAGTGTACCCTGAGATAAGAGTAAGATAAAAAAGAGCAAATGACGGAAGAGTTGTATTTTACAAGCTAAAACTGAAAAAGAGAAAATATTAAGGTCTTGCTGCCAATGCTGTCATGTGTACTGTATGCCCATTTTCACAACAACCTACCCCTACAAAGATACAATGCAGGGACTGAAACACACTTTCTAAGTCAAGTCAACATTAACCATTTTTGTGGTCATGGCAAAGTCTGAATTTTCAAGAAATGCATACTAAAATATTTATGGCTAAAAAGATTCATCCCAAGATATTCTGGGAGGGCTGCTCGGGGATGAGGGCACGGCAACACCTATGACTTGCTGCAAAAGCAGAGCCTGACAACAGCTCTGGGCTCTCTCTACCCTCTACGGGACCCTATCTTTGCCACAGCAGTGGGCTGACCAACTCAGAAAGTCTGCCAAAGTGTGTCCACAGAGAACCATCCCCACAGGTCTCCACTGAGTTACCTCAGCAGGCAGAGAGCCACGTCTATCTGTTTCTCTGTAGACAGACAGGGACTGACCAGGGAAGAATCGGGGGGACATTCTGGCATGAGAGGATACTCTATCTTGGCAAGAGTGCACACAGTCCACAAAACTCATCAAATAATGTTAAAGACACATCATTGTACGCAGATTTTGTTTCAAAATAACACAAACATATAAGAAATGCTCGTCAGCCACAAGCTTTTTGACCAGACCATTCTGATGGACTGATGGTCTGTGATTTACTTTGGGACACACTAAAACACAAGGCAAGGCTGTATAGTCAGATGGAGGCCAAGCAAGTGCGATAAAATGGTAATAGCTGGGAAGTATGGGTGAAGGAGAGTGTCCACATGCCGTCTTGAAATGATTTCAAGCCTGAAATGGTTATTTTCCTTTTTAATAAAAAAGCCCCCCTACGGGTGGGCGGTAACTGAGGTATGTTAAGGGGTAACTGCTGAAGTCGAGTGAGGAGTATGAGTGTGGGGAGCAATGGGGATGTCACTATGTACCACACTGGCTTTGTAGGCTTGAAATTTTCTGTAAGACTGTCCCCCCCCCCCAGTTCAAGTGTGCCTGCAGTTCTCAGTGCAGTCCTCAGTGCCTGGCTTTGGGGTTCCCTCTCCCAGCTGCTCAGCACTTAGCTCCTTTCCTCTGTCAGCCCCCCCGGCCCAACCATCCTCACAACCATGCTCTTCCCTTTTCATCCCCCAAGCCTTGCTCAAATGTCACCCCCAAGTTGGCGCTCTCCAGTACAGCTGTCTCCATGCTTGTATTGCGTGTTTCTGGTTTAGCTGCCCGAGACTTGGAAGCAGGAGGACCCTTTGTGGCCTGGGTTTTTACGGGCATACTACAGCGAATGAAGTGACCACATCCTCACCTCTCACACACCTCCCACCTGCTTCCACTTGCTGGGTGGGGCTTTGCACCCTCTCCCATCACAGGCAGCATCCATCTGCGACTGCAACCTCGCCCACAGAGATGAACTGGCAGAGCTTTTCCCGTGACTACTGCTCACACTCCCACTGTGACACTGACAGCAGGGGAGCTGGAGTAGAAATGCCTTCCCACCGCCCAGGGCTGTTTCCAGTTTCCCTTTAAAGATGAGCAAGCATTGTGATGAGGTTTGTGCACAGACACCCATCACAGTGTGTTCTGGGAGGGAAAGAGCTAGGATGCTGGCTGACAGTGAAAATATGGTGAAAATCCAGACTCCACTTCCTGAACCATCCTCCCCATCACTGACGATCACCCCATGCAAAGAACCACCCTCTTCATCACTGATGATCACCTCACTTCCAGGACTGTCCTCCCCATGACCAACAATCATCTCAGGTCCAGGAAGCCCTCATCACTGATGACCACGTGTTCTAATGTCACCAACTCCAGGGACAAACAGTATTTTGTTAGTTAAGGATACATTTTTAAATCTTCTGGTCTAAATATAGATTTTTTTTTTAAATACAGATTTTGTATGAGCATGATTAAACATTCTGGGATTCCCATTCTCAATGTTAACCTAGTTTGTTATGATGTACACATTCAAATGTCTTTGCAAAGTCAATAAAACACAGACATTTCTGGTATTCTCTGCATTCTGCCAAGATCCACCTGACATCAGCAATGAAACCTATACCCAGACCCAGAAGTTGCCTGAGTGGAGCAGGAAATAGCACTGGTTTAAAATCAAGAAAGGTATGTGTCAGGGCTACATTTTTTTTCTCCATACCTATTCAATCTGTATGCTGAGCAAATCATTCGAGGAGTTGGACTCTCTGAAGAAAAATGTGGCATCAGAATAGGAGGAAGACTCATCAACAACCTGTCTTATGCAGATGACACAATCTTTCTAAGTGAAAGCAAGGCGGACTTGAAATGCTTGTTGTGGAAGATCAAAGACTACAGCCTTAAATATAGATTACATCTCAATATCAGGAAGACAAAAATCCTTACTACCAGCCTGACAGGCAACATCATGACAGATGGAGAAAGACTGACATGTCATTGATTTAATCTTGCTTAGACTCACAATCAACAGCCTTGGCACCAGCAGTCAAGAAATCAAAAGACGTACTGCAATGGGAAAGTCTGCTGTCAGGGACCTCTCCAAAGCCCTGACAAGCAAGGATGTCAATCTGCAGACTAAGGTTGCACCTGATTCACATCATGGTGTCTTCCTACTTGCTATGCATCTGAGAGCTGGACAAATGAATAAAGATGCCAGAAGATGACTTGATGCCTTTGAGCTGTGGTGTTGGAGAAAGAACTGACTATCTATGGATGGCTAAAAGAGCAGTTTTTTCTTAGAGAAGGTGGAGCCAGAATGCCCTTTAGAATCAAAGACAGCAGAGCTTCATCTCACATACTCTGTACATGTTGCTAGAAGAAACTAGTCCTTGGAAAGGGACATGATGCTAGGAAAGGTGGAAGGTCAGTGAGAGAGAGGAAGACCTTTAACGAGATGGACTGACACCGTGACTGCAGCAATGGGTCCAACTGTGTCAGAGATGATGAGGATGGCACAGGACAGGGCCAGATCTGTTTGTAAGGTTGCTATGAGTTACAGTTTCATTGATGGCACATAACAATGTTATTCTTTTAGGAACTAGGTACAGGTTTCTATTGCAGAAACTTTCTTTAGTGATTTATGAGCACTCTTTCTATATTGAGGATATCAACTCTTTACCTCCTTTTATGTTAGAATCACTATTTTGAGCTTTATCTTTTAACTTTAGTTATACACTATCTTTTCTTATGATTGCAGAATTAATTCTTATAAAGGCCTTCCCAACTCCAAGATTATGAAAATAAACAAAATCATATATCTTTCTATTTTTAGGTCTTACTTTCCACATTCAGATATTTAGCTTCCCTGGAATTATTGTTTTTGCCAGATATGATGTAAGGGTCACATTTAATGCTTTTCCTCTCCAAAATGGTGAGCTTGTTTACTCAATACTAATTGTTAATGAAGTCTGTTAACACACTGGCATATGAAAGGCTGTATGGCAGTAAGCCACACTGGAGTTCCAGTGATGAATTTCATCAGGTACTGCTTGCACTGTCCAGTGCCCATCCTCCTCCGTTCTCAGGGTGGTTTAATAGCCTGGCCTTCTCACCTCCTGCGAGGACATTAACTTGAACTACTAGGATGAAGTGACACTGGTGTCCATCCTCCTCCGTTCTCGGGGTGTTTAATAGCACAGCTTTCCCATCTCCTTAGGGTACATTAATTTGCTGTTAATTTGTGCTGGCCCACTGCCTGCTATTAGAGCTATTTCACTGAGTGATATTTTCCAAATTTTTTTCAGGGACATAGATACATGCCCATTTCCTATCGGCTCAGGAAAGAATTTCTGCCATTTGTAATTTCTTATAAAATGGTATTTTTCAGTGATTTTCAACTTTTCTTAGATTTAGAGTTTGAGATATGCTCTTGTCCTTGATGAGGCTGTACATGTGTCACTAAGTTGCATCGAGTCGTCTCTGAGTCACAGCAATTCCACTGAGAGCACAAGGCAGTGATGCCTGATCCAACACCACCTCACACACTCTGCTGTGCTTAAGCACGGTGCTCATTATTTCATTGAAGCTTTCCCCCTGTCACTGACCTTCCACATTACCAGGTGTGATGTCCCTTTTCTCTATTATTACATATATAGTTCTCTTATTTCCTCACTAATTTGTGCTTCTTGTTTTGGAATCTCCTCTTTATCCTTTTGATGCCTTTGACAGTTTCTTCCTAGATCTGGGAATTGAACACTTAATTGCTTTGTTTTTATTTACAATCGACCTAGGCTTCTACTGTTTGTTGAATAAAATGTTCACTCCAGCTGGTAACTGCATGATGAGAACGACTGTCCTTGTTTTCTCTATCTCCAGAGTGTCATCTGCGAGCCCGCTGCTGCACACAGAACCCTGGCCACCTGGGCCCCCACAGGAGAAGACAGTCTACATCTCTCCTGATGCTTGTCCTCTATCCCATCTTTTCCCAGAAAACCTCTGAGTTGGTCCTCTCATCCCACCTGTTCTTTTGTGCCCTGTTCTATGTCAAAATCTGATGATGTCTCTCAGATACCAGATTGCTGGCTATGCTAGTTTCACAGAGGTCAGGTGTGTGTAAGAACACATATGCAAGGTCAGAACTCCCGTCACTCAGCAGGCTGCTCACAGCTGCCCATGTTACGGGTGCTCCAGTGTGTCTCCTGGGACCTCCTGCATCCTCATGCTTGCAGAGAGGTGGGGCCTTTGTCCAGAAGTGTGCTGAGAAGATTCCTATCAGGTCCCATGAAGGTCCTGAGGAAGCCTTGGTGGCATGGTGGTTAGTCTGAACCACCAGCTTCTCTGCAGGAGAAAGATGAGGCAGGCTGCTTCCACAACAAGCACAGCTTTTGAAGCCCTTCAGGCAGTTCCACTCCATCCTGCAGATCAGTGTGGGTCAGAACTGCGTCCACAGCAGAAGGCTGGGGTCAAGTGTGTGGACATTCAGGCTCCATCTCCAGGTCACATGACTGGCCCGAGTGGTGGGAGCTGCACCCAGTGGGAGCCTCAGCTGGCACCCAGTAAGATCACGTTACCTGCAGCAGGCCCACCTTTAAGGTGTGGACCATTGCACTTTCTGGAGACACAGCGCATGCTGTTCCCCTGAATACCCCTCATTTGTTTAATCCCTGCCAACACCCAGCAGGCTCCCCGAAGTGACTGCCATAGGCATTCAGCTCCCACTGGCAGATACATCCTCCATCACTACCTCTCCTGTCTGCAGCTATGGAAGTCTTCATGGCTCCTAGAGCTTGTGCTCCGCTCGCCTCTAACATAGAGCAATTACATTTTCCCTCCACTCATTCAATTCCTTCTGAAAGCTCAGGGAGAGAGTCTGTGGGTGATCAGGAAGGATGAGAAAGTAAACTGACCCCTGCAACGAGGTCCACAGAAATGTTTAAACTTTCTACAGAGCTCCATTTCCCCAGGAAGCCAACTGAGGTACGTGTCTCACTCACCACTGCTACCAAGCTGAGGGTCTCTATGCAAAGTCTGCCCAGCCCAGAAAGGCCCTCTGCTTGGTCTTCCACAGCCCACCACACTCACAAGGGTCCTCTAACCAGAACAGGACACTGATCCACCAGTGCAGCACAAGTCCAAGGGGTATGGAGCATTATTTGAAATGTTCTAAACATTTCCACAGAATTGTTTAGAACAGCTGCTACGTATATGTAAAAGCTGAGATGCAATTTCAAATTAGGGAAATTTTGCAAAGTTAGCAAATTTGATCATGGCCCCTCAGAACAAGTTGCCATTTCCAGCCACCGGCAGTAATCCCTACCTGGCCCAAAACTCCTCTTGTCAGCTTTGGAGCACAGGTCAAGGGAGGATGCAGACATGTAGACCCCAGCACATTTTTCAAAGCACACCTGTCACTGGCCTCTCAGGGCCCACTGTATACCTTTCACTGGCCTCTCAGGGCCCACTGTATACCTGTCATCGGCCTCTCAGGGGCCAGAGTACACCTGTCATCAGCCTCTCAGGGCCCAGAGTACACCTGTCATCAGCCTCTGGTGCCCCAGCACACCTGTCACAGGCCTCTCAGAGTCCCAGTACATCTGTCACCAACCTCTTTGGCCCCTAGCACACCTGTCACTGCTTCCTGGAGAGGAGACAGACATATGGGGCCCACAGCATACCTTTCACCAGTTTCCCATCAGGAATGGCTTTGCCAGAGGCTGCTTCCTTCTTCCCTGGGCCTCCTCTTGCTGCTCCCTCGGCCACGTCTTCAGATACCCCATCGTCCAGGGCCTCCCTGGGTTTCTCAGATATTGACTCAGCTGGAGCCTCCTCGCGAGCTGCTGCAGCCTGTAGAGACTGATTACAAGGAGTCAGGGAACTAGTAAAAGGAGGAGTAAGAAGCACACCTCACACACAGAACACTTCTCCTCTAGTTGACCAGTGAGCAGAAAGTAGCAGGGAGACGCTTCTGGAAGTTCTGACAGGCTTGTGAGACCTTTTCCCTGAAGGTTAACTGCTCAGGGCACTTTCCCACGGCCTTCCCACAGGGTGATGCTTTTCCATTTGAGCACTTGAAAAGTCCGAGGGAGGCTAGTGATAAGCAAGACCTGCGTAATCTCTCCACCAACTGGGCTTTATGATGCCAGTGTGTAATTGGGAAGAGGATGTGGGAAGGTACTTGCGGAGAGACCCAGATGTGTGGAGTTGGCACTGGGGCACTGCCCAGCAGCTCTGGGTTGGCTGGTTTAGCTATGTTCATGAATATAGTAATATGAACAGTGCTGATTTTCACTGGAAGTCACTATAGGTCACAACCAATCAAAACATTCCCTGCTTGAAAACCTAGGGTTTTCTGCCATAACACATAAGGTCTGTGCTGTGAACTGCTCTGCCTGTAAGTGAGGGACAATTAGAGACCTCACACTGCACAGACCTGGAACCTACAACCTATACTAGGTGTTCCATAAGAGGTGGAGACAAGTTCGCCAGTGTACCTAGAAGGCATGAAGGCTCCACAAAGTCCACCCTCTTGCCAGAAACACACCTGCGAGCTGTCGGCCCCCTCCTTCTGAAGGAAAACGTGCTTCTTGAACTCATAGTACGCATTGTACTGGTGCCAGGGCTGCAGGAACTCAAACCTAAGAGCAGGAAAGAGGAGAGTGGGGCATTTAGTAAGAACTAGAGTCCAGAGACAACCCAATCCTGCGCCTTCACTTCTAGCCTTGGTCCCTAACACTTCAGTCACTATCACTTTGTGACTGCACAGTGACCGGAAGAACAACCGTAAGTCCTATTTGACAGGAAAAAGCGAAGTGGCTCAGAGAGAGTAGTAAGAATTACTCAGATTGTGAGTAGCCTGTCATTTGCTTTACCAAGAGGAAACACTATTGCAGTGAGAGAGAAAAAGGTGACATGCATGTTTCAATTCTCAGGGAAGGGTCTTGAAAAGCATGACCCTCAATTTATACTTAGGGAGTTATCAATATTCTTGCTTAAAAACTAAAGCAAACTATCCATCCAGAGAGAGGACATATAGAGAAACCTCAATCCGATTCCAAATAATTTAACAAGGTAATTACGGAAGGAAAGGATCAATCACATTAGAAAGGGATTATGGGACTGAGTAAAAAGTCCAGCCAAGGCTTGATTACTCTCAGAACCCACATGCAGCCACCACACTCTGCCTCTCACCTCTGGTCATTCTTGGCGCGCACGCTGGTCTCAAAGTGCACGCCGTTCCGGGCCACATACTCGGCCAGCTTGTCAATCACTGGTTGGATGTCTGGGGGCGGGGGGATGATGGCAGCCACAGGGGCAAGGGCACTGCAGAAGGAAGGGCCAATCACTCTCCAGGTACAGGCAAACCCATGTCAGTTGACAGAGTGGGTCTCTGCTATATCAGATGGAGAGTGACAACTAACTGGTACCATGATGAGCTAATGCAAGCCAGTCCACTTGAAACAGGGACCAAAATATCACCAGGAATGGGGAATTAAAACGCAAGACTTAAGGTAATAAAAACAAGCTGACTCTCTAAGAGGGTTTCAGAGGCAGTAAATCACACAAGGGAAGATTTCTCATCTTTCTCCTGAGGAGCAGCTGGTAGATTAAAATAGCTTGCCTTTGGGTTGACAGCTCAGCTTCTCATCACTAGGCCACTGGATCTCCCTAGATACAGATACATAACTATCTAAACAAAAATGTTACTGCTGCTGAGTCACAACCAACTCACAGCTGACTCTCCAATGAGTTGTGGAGACTGCAAATTGCACAAGAGATTGTCTACCTTTTCCCAAAGGAGCAGCTGGTGGATTCTAACCACCAGAGAAGTGCTTCCTTTGGGTTAGCAGGACAACCCCACTATACACACATATCACATCAAATGCTATGTCTCTGTAGGAACACACAAGGTCCCTCAGCGATCCCAGGAGAACCCCCCAATAGTGTGCAAGCTGAATCTCTCTTGTGAAATCATGATCGTGTACCTCTTTGTCCACACCCTTACTAGGAGTTGGCCAGCAGGAGCTGGCGTCAGTCCTCTGCAGCAATCTACCCCGCTGATATCCTATTTGCCAAGGGCTTATAAGGGTTGAGAAGCACATAATCACCCCTTCCATGAACCACAACTCTGCCTCTGCCCAGTGCTTCTGGGTCCCTAGAGTTCACCTGTGTGATCTGTGCAGTGGGAGCTGGGCTCACACAGTGGAACTTGTAAGTTGCAGCCATGCACGTACCTTGTTGTGGTGGTCGTAGAGGTCACTCCACTGCTTGTTTCTGCAGTGGACGGGGGTGGTGGCGGCGTGGTCCCAGGAGGTGGGGGGGCAGTGTTCGTCACACCAGTGGAGGTGGACACGGTCACACCAGCAGGCAAGGTACTGTAGTAAGTGGCCACATCGGTCCCGGGAGGGGTTGGGGCCAGGCAGTAGGTACCATCAGGCAGCATGTAGTAGCTGTAGTACATGGCCGCCACTGTCGCTGTCAGGAAACACAATCAGGGGGACAGGTCAGCGTGCATGAGACGCTGTTTCCAACACAATGACAAAGCACTACCCACGTCCACCATTTCCTCCACTCTGCACGACAATCAACTGTAAAGGCAATGTCGAGACACACACGGGAACAGACAGGGTGTGAGTGGACTCAAGGCTGTCACAGCAATCAACGCAAACACTTGGGAAAGCAATTCTCTCGCTGAGCCTAGAATGCATGGGTTACAAAGTCATCTCTCTAAAAGCAATCTTATCTTTCTCCTTCCTGCAATCCCAACAGTGAGCCTCTCCTTGTCAAAGCCTGGATGCAAGGAGACTCCTGGGAGAGTCTCGCAAGTGACTCTCACTTCTCCCAAGTGACACAAACTACACGGCTTCCAAGGACCTTAGCGTTTTCACTTAACATCTGTTTTGGAAATCACTGCTTTACAAAGTGTGCTACCACTTTAGCCACATTGTTCACCTGTGCTCCACCCTTTCATGGCTGCCCAGTGAAGCACCAAGACTCCCTTACTCCAGGGACACTGGTCTAATACATGTCCCCTATCCTTACATAGCTGCCCCATGATGTCACCAACAGGCTCCCCTCTCCCGCCCAGGGCCTTGATACCTCTTCATTCTATACAGTGGCATATTCTGGGAATCTGTGTACATATCATGGACATTAGCCCTTTACTTTAACAATCAGGAATGCCGTGTGTATGTTTATTTTGGAAAAAAAAAAAGGAAAAAAGAATCTAACCAGGGATTTCTATTTTCAGTCTTTTTCTGAGTAAGTCTAACAATGACCACACAAACTCAAGCTGGGTCAGACCAGTGACCCTGCATCAGGTTTCCGTGGCTGTCAGTCTTAATGGGAGAGACAACCCATATTTGTCCCATGGAGCCACTGGGGGACTGGATGATGGATTTGCTGGGTTAGTGTCACAACTTGCTTTGGACACCAGCAGACCTCCTACACATACGTTTAATTTCACCATCATGAGGGAATGGAGGCATGTTTCCGCCAACTAAGGAGTTCTACTAATGAGAAACCCTGCCCAGCTCAGCAGGCAGTGCATTTGGACACACATCCCTGGGCTGTGAACAGAGGCAGAAGGTGGGTGTGTGTGTGTGTGTGTGGGGGGGTGCGCGCGCGCTCCTTTATGTCACAGAGGGTATGGAGCTACCTGTGAAGCCCAGCTTCATCGCAATGAGAAGACGACTGGCATCCAGTGAGGTCCACCTACCCATCAGGGGTCAGAGCCAAGTGGGGATGTACAGACAGCATCTGAGCTCACTGACTAGTGCAGGAGACCACAATGATGTGAGCTGAGGGCCCGTAAAGGAAAATGGTCTCGGGGGAAACATAAAAGAGCTAGCACCTGAAAGAGCTCTGGGAAATGCCAAAGCCTGCACCCACCCTGGAAAGTATCAGGTTGAGTGTGAGACAGAAATGTTCCTAAAGTGAAGCCCTCAAGTCTGTGGTGCTTTGCTAGACACCCAAGAGGCATATTCAAGGAAGCCCCTCCCCACGAGTACACACTTGGGGAGTACCCCCTCCCTCATGCTCATGCCTTTGAAAAACCCCCAGTTTCAGGAGGAAAGACTGTCAGTTCCCCAACCTCAGTGCTCACACTCAGGGAAGCGCCCAACCTCCTCCCTAAGCACTGGCGTGGATGCACCAGAAACAAGAGTTGTTTCCCTGAGCGGCAAGAGGAGTGAAAGGTTCACTTAGAATGTCATAGCAGAGGGGAGCTCCGGTGGCCTAGTGGCAAGAAGCTGTACTGCAATCCCAGAGGCACACGGTTCGAATCCACCAGACGCTCTGCCGGAGAAGTAGGCGCAATATCCTCCTGTACCAGTCAGATCTGATTTGATGGTACACGCACACAAAATAAAAAAAAAATGTCATAGCATCCTCGGTGGGGGCACACTGGAACAGCAGGAGTGCGTGGCTGCCAGCTTGTGGTCCAGGAACTTCAGATAGTGCATGGCAGACTCTCTAGATCCTTCAACACACCTTCACATACTGGCACTGGGTCTCTGCGTGATGACCGCAGGGGTCCTCCCAGCCTGGTCAAGCATGCCCACTAGGATCAGCAGCTGTCTGAAGGATGCTGAGGGCCCGGACTGCTTTTCCCTCAGCCTCGTAATGAGGCAGCTGTGCACACTCCCTCCTCTGGTACCCCAGGCTCGAGGTTTCCCAAAGGCACCAAAGACAACACTGTCTCAAGCCTCTGACTAGATTCATGACTCTAAAACACAGGTTGATGGAGTTACTGCGTCCAGGAGATCAGAGAGGTGTGAGGAAGGCTGGAGCTCAAGTGAGCTGTCCCAGCAGGAAAACCAGAGAGCAGCCAATGCAGCAAAGCCCAGGTGGGCCAGGGGCAACAGCAGGGGTCCGAGTGACACACAGGACTAATATGATGGACTCAACCCAAGGGAGGAGAAGTAGGGGAAAGCAGGACATGGAGAAACAAGATTCTTAGCGAGGCTGGAGACCACTTCCAAGCAGAGCTGGGTGGACAGACCACAGCTTTAATGACAGCTGTCAGAATGTCATGCAGACACAAGATGTGACTGAGAGTTTACATCTAGGTAACTCCCTCTCGGTGTTACAGATTCTGGGGACAAGTGGACTTGCCAAACTTCTATAAAGAGCTAGACTGTAAATATTTTACTCTTTGTGGGCCGAGAGGCAAAACAGAAAGTATTATGTAAGTACTTAATATAACGAGAAAAAAATGTTCACAAATATTTTGCTGATGAAATGGAAAAAAAAGATAATAAAGCCAATTCAGCACTTCCCCCCCCCAAAAAAAAAAATCCTGGAGTGTTAACATTTCACTTTACTGGGGTTCAAACCTGGTGTCCCCATCATAACACTGACGGCAAAGGCTCACCCCGACCCTTCATTCTTGGGTTGGGCAAGGACAGAGGGTCATGCTCACCGCAAAACAAAACACTTCCCTACAAACTGAAGCCAAGAATTTTCTAAAAGGCTCAGGAACCTGATTGCTTGGAGTATGCTCACTCCAGCATTCCCGTGGGTGCTGTTCTCCAAAGTAGGTTAACCCTGCCCGGCCACACTAGGCACAGAGCATCAGTGGGCAGCGGATTTCCTCAGTGACCACTTAGACCGCTTACGTCTGTGTAACAATCAAGCACAGGCCGTGGGAGGAAGCCGCAGGGACCAGGACTGCCTGCTGGGTGCACCTTGCAGGCTGGTTGATTGTCAGGAACTCCCGCTCCCACTGGCCAGGCAAACACCAGCATCAGAATGAGCAATTTTCACGGTAATTTCACTGTTGTTACGTGCCACTGAGTCTCAAGCTCATCCCAGTGACCCCATGGACAACAGATGGAAATCCTGCCCAATCCTGCACCATCCTCACGATCTCCATCGCTGCAGTCATGTGTAGAGGGCCTTCTTAACTTCTTTTTGGGGAAAGCTGCCTTTCTGAGGTCAGCTATGTTACCTGAAGCTTCAGCTCAGGAAAGAGTGTAACTTTAATACCGTTCAGACTACAGCAGCCTTGAACAGATAACTTTATTCTGACAAGTGGTCTAGCTACGTCTCCTTGATTCTGACCCCCAGGAAGAGCACCAGCAGCACAAGCCCACGGCAACCATCATCAAGGCCGAACCCCATACTTCAGGGGGAGGTGGGGGATGAGTAAACCCAGCAGGTAGGACATGCTTTACAAACCCCATGGTGGGGCCACAGGAGAACCTCACTAGCCTCTTGCTCATTCTCCTGCACACCATCATTCCTTCTTCAAGGATTCTGCCCTCACCTCCGGGGACTCAGGCAATTTCCCAGGAGCCTTAAGATCTCTCAGGGTCTGCTGCGTTTCAGGGGCTGGCCAACTGTGAGCTTTCTCCTGCACTACATCTCCAGCACAAGAAAACCAAGCCAGACACAGGCAAGCCTCCCTAACAAGCCAAATCCACACTAAGTAAAACAAGACAAAAGATAAATATATATGTACACCTATTACACTGCCCTCTTCCACCTCCACAAGTATGCAAAAGCATTTATTATCTGGATAACAGCACACTCTAAATATTTTCAAGCCGAGATGCAATAATGAACTACAAGTACAGCAACAGGGACGCAGTGTCTGACTGGGAGGTTACAACGGAAGACACATGAGGAAACAAGGCTCTAACCTGACCACAGGGTTGGCAGTGACCCCTAGAGCAACACTGCCTTGTTTCTATACCATCGAGTTGAACAGGATAATCTGACAGTCCTGTAGCTGCCTGTTACTAAGTACTGACATGTTGGTTCTGACTCACATTGACTCCAAAGACAAGAGAGGACCCTCCCTGTATGATGCAGCGCAAACTTTACAATGTGTGTCGAGTTGTTTGGTCAGTGAAAGCAGAGAAACAGTCAATCAAGCAGATGTGGGAACATGGGAGCTGTGACCAGGGTGATGTCAAGATGCCACAGTATCACAGCTGAAACTGCAAAGCTGCCAGCACGCACCCATTTTAGACATAGGAGCATGCAACTTTGGAATTTTAGCTCAGCATTTAAAAGCTATCTCTTTCTCTCTATTTTTGGCAAATAAAACTATATTCTAGAAAAGCCAGACTCTGGATGGCTTCATCAGTGACCCTAAAATAAAAAGTTTTGAATCTTTAATTCTGTGATCACGTTTCATTCTTGTTATATAAAAAAAATCAATTTTAGAGGGTTCTGCCAAAGGAAGCAAATGGTCAAAGCCAGAGTCTCGAGGCTAACACCCAAAGTGGTGAAAAACACAGAGGGCTCAAGGAGGGTCCTGGGAGGATGAGCATGGGGAAGAACCCAGTGAGTAGGAGCCCCCCCAGCTCTGGTGTATCCCAGCCCCAGCATAAGTGTATATATATACCATTTTCCATATCCATCCCCAGTACCACTGTAAGGCATCCTGGCCCCCAGCTCTGTTGTATCCTCCCCTCATCATCAGTGTATGCATCCTGGCCCCCAGCACTGGTATATCCTCATCCCAG